TTTGGACACTTATACATATTCATATTTGTTTCTTTTTTTCTCATTTCTAGCATTTTTCATGAATCAGTATTTTGAGGACTAGAATGTTTATTAGTATATATCAGTTTTGTTTTGTATTCTTTTTTCGTTTTTACTATACATATTTTTTATTTCACTTGATTCCTAGATTCTCTCTTTTCTTTTGCTAACAGCCAATCTTTATTGTTCTTTCTTTCACTCTTCCTTTAACTTTTTACTTCTATTTTCTCTCCTCCTGCCTCATAATCATACATCACTTCTGTTCTTTCCCTGTTCACTATTCAAAATTGTAAACCCTTTTGCAAATGTGCAGTTTTTATGATGCGCAATAACTGATCTCATCATTTCTGTTTATTGTGACAATTAACATTACAGATATCGAGTGCTGCAGGTCCCACTTAGCCACTTTGTCCACTGTCACCTCCATGTCTGCAACTGCCACCACTCGCCAACATCTCAGACCAGCAGTAGCTGCAGCTCTTACCACTGAAGGGGCTCAGCCTGACAGACAAGAAGAATACCCCCCCAGCCTTCAGTGGGACCTGAATCCTAATCAGTAAGACTTCAAGGAGTATCTTCTAGGAGCCCATGGAGCTGAAAACTAAAGTACTGCACCCAGCATGGAGGATGAACCACTATACTGAGAGAGAACCCTCACTGCTTTGTCTTCTTTCCTATCAGATACCATGATATTTGGCAGATTTCTAAGAAGGCTGAAGGTTCCTTTTTGACAGAAGAGGTGGTAGCTATTTCCAAGGACATTCTATACTAGGAAGCCCTGAAATCTGAGGTATGATATTTTATGTCTCATAATTATGAATTTCTTTGCAGCAAGTGATGGCATAGTATATGAAAATTTGGTGGAGTGATTAAGCCAGGAAGTTCAAATTACAGAAGTTCACTGTTTCTATGACTTCCAAATTGCCATGGAAAACTACATTGTGAAATGTATAGTCTCCTTATTGACACTTAAAGATTTCAAAGAAAGGGAATTTCTCTTCAATGCCATTGAAACAATACCTTATGTAAAGAAGAAAGTAAATTAGGTCTTGCATTGGATTGGGGACAAAGAAGCTACCTACAGAGAATGTGTTGTAGCCTTTGCCGCTGTGGAAGGAAACTTCTTCTATGTTTCTTTTGAATCAATATTCTAGTTCAAGAAACGGGGATTGATGCCTGGCCTAAGTTTCCAGTGAACTTATTAGCAGAGATGAGGGTTTACTTTGTGACTCTGCCTGCCTGATGTTCAAACACCTGCTACACAAACCATTGGAGCAGAGAGTAAAAGAAATATTTATCAATGCTGTCAGCTTAGAACAGGAGTTCCTCATGGAGGCTTTGCCTGTGAAGTTCACTGGGATGAACTGCACTTTGATGAAGCAGTATATTGAATTCGTGGCAGACAGGCTTATGATGAAGCTGGGCTTTAGCAAGGTTTTCAGAGTAGAAAATCCATCTGACTTTATGGAGAATATTTCACAGAAGACAAGATTAACTTCTTTGAGAAGAAAAGTAGGTGAGTATCAGAGGATCGGAGAGATGTCAAATCCAACAGGGAATTCTTTTACCTTGGATGCTGATTTCTAAATGAACAGAAGATGGGATCTTATTTTGCTGATTTTTTCCGCCCTTATTACCCCCACAAAAAAATCGGCTAAAATGAATTCAACACTTTACCGTCATGTATATCTAAAAAAAGAATTTTAAATTTCTAAAAAATACTTTAAAAAAAAGGCAGCAGCTCAGATATGGCTAAGAAGTCATAGTGTGCTAACTACAGAGTGACTAACAGATGTACAGAAAGATTAATTTTAAATAGTTATCATGTATCTTGACTTCTTATGAATTTTCCAATTTTTGCAGTAGTCTGTTATTATTATGTTAACAAATAAACAAATGATCATTTTGGTCTATTTTTTCAATATTTATCCCAATCATTCCTCTTTTGTACCATTACTGCATTGGTAAAATAACTTTGGAGCAATCCTCAGCTATAGTGCTAACAGGAGCTACTGTTTTGTTAAACGGAAGGCTGTATTTTTGTACCCTCAAATCTGATGTTGTGGTTGGTTTCTAAAACATGTGCTTCATCGTGTTTTATTTTTTAGTACAGGGGGAACTGAGCCATATCTCCAGTTGTTTTTTCATGTTTTATTTTGAGATAGGGTCTCACTAAGTTGCTTAGGTCCCATCTAAACTACTGAGGCTGACCTCCTACCCCAGCCTTCTGAGTTACAGCCAAGCACCACTGTGCCTGACTTATATTAGATATCTTTTAAGATACTTTGTAATTCATGATGAGGTAATTACTACTACTTTTTCTAAAATGTTTTTATTAGCCCATTATAGTTATAGTATATATGCATTTCAGTATTTATAGAAGCACCATTTACTAGTACATTTGGATTATAGCTATAGACCAATGAGGGCTACATTAAGCAAACCTCCATTGAATTCCACTGCCCTGTTTTCTTAATGGATACTTTCCAAATCTTCTGGTTCAATTACTCAAACCTTGAAACAACTTAAAAGAAAGTTAATTCTTATTAAGGACTGGAAAAATTAAGTAGGAAACAGAACTTTCTTGTTTTAGAGTTTTTCAAGGTATTTTCTTTTCAGATTTTTCAATAGAAATAAATCACTGAAATGACTTTTGAGTAATAAATGTAAACTTTACTGAAAGTTCAATAATATTCTATGAAGATTCAGAAGTAAACGGACCAAAGAAAAATAAATGATTTAAACTGATATGAGAGTAAATTCTATAATGTTCAGTTCTGAAAAGCTTTGATTGAACACCTAAGCATCATTAAAAATATGTATTTCAAGTTGAAAGCTAATAAATGTATAATATGCTTATACTTAAATATTTTAAAACCTCCTTTAAATTGGCTTTCATATACTCACAGAGGTGTCAATGAAAGTTTCATATTCATCTCCTAGGCAGAAAATGATTCATTATTAGTATAAAACTTAGTATTTCAATTCATCAAAATTTTTTAATTTGAATTCACCTTCCAAGAAGGAAATGAAAACAAATGTAATCAGTATTTCCATATTTAATTATTAAATTTCCCTGCAAAACTAAAAATAGTCCAGCTGTAAAACTATGAGGCACATATTAAAGAAGGGACATGTTTAAAATCAAGATGAGAAGATTTTTCTTTACAAAAACATTTGAAGGCTGAGATAAATAAAATAAAAATACTTCAGGCAATACATAGTAAACATTTTCATTTAAATAACAGCATAGAGTCCTTCTCAGAAACTGTTATACATTATACCTATTATTTTACAGTTAACAATGAAAATGAAATTATAGATATAATTATTACATATTCAAATATTTTTAAAATGAAATTAATGATGAGCATAGACTTATTTATATAAACAATGTAGATGGCTAGAATCATCAATTTGATTTAATATCAAATACATTTCTATAGAATTATTTTTAAAATAAGAATTATAAATTTTAATTCAGCCAATTTGTTTTCTTTTTTTTAAGAGAGAGAGAGAGAGAGAGAGAATTTTTTTAATGTTTATTTTTTAGTTTTTAGCGGACACAACATCTTTATTTGTATGTGGTGCTGAGGATCGAACCCAGCACCGTGCGCATGCCAGGCGAACACGCTACCACTTGAGCCACATCTCCAGCCCCCAGCCAATTTGTTTTCATTCAGCCAAAACAATAAGCCTCTTAGAAATTTAGTACTTAAAGATTAATATTAGAAATTTTTCAATATAATGATAGAATATTTTGATCTCGACTGAATTATACTATACAAAGACAATTATCAGTTGTTCTGTGGCTTATAATGTGGTCACCAAAATTTCTTGACCAAAAAAAATATCATTATAATTGTATAAAGCAAAGTCCTATAATAAAGTGAATGAAATAATGACCAGAATATTTTTGAAACTAGAGTGTGGATATTTTCTGTCCATAAATTTGGTTTATGAACACAAATAAATTTGGTTTTCCAAAATTAATTCCAAGATCCAATATCTAAATATTTTAGCAGAGTAGGGCAACAATGGAAAGAAATGACTTAATGGGCCTCTGGAATGAAAAAAAAAAAACTATTGTAAATCTTAGTTTGAAAAATACATCTTATATAAAAGATATAATGAATGCCTCAGAATTACATAATGATGCTTATATCAAAGTTTGTTGGTCAAGTAAATGGTAAGAACTAAGTAAAATGTAAGATTTGCTTTTTAACAAAGCAACCTGAGTAATATGTTAAGTGTTAGAGGGGGATTGGAAAGAAATTGGGCTGGGCAAACATTTCCTCTTGGGCTTTCTATATAATAATCTATTTTACATTTGAACTGTTCATCACACATCCATGTAATAGAGAAGAGGGACTCTGCCTACCTATGAGGTGCTTCCCAGAGCAAGAAGGCCTTGTCTTGCTTCTCTAGAAAAACAGTGCCTTCTCAAATCCTAGAGCCTAACAGAAGTATAGGAAATGGAAGTAATTGATGTCAAAGTTAATCCATCCTCATTGGACTCCTTTTAAATTGAGTCATTCAAAGACCAGCTGGAAGTACAGACTCTAGCTAAAGAATATGGATACACATTTGTCTTGAAATTGGGGAGCAAAATTAATCAAATTATATTTTATATATGTTTGAATAGTATACAATAAAACCCATCAATCCATAATTAATATGGGCTAATTATCATTTACTGGGCATTGTAATCCCTTCAACCAAATAGCCAAGCTGTAGTTGTTTTTATGTAACTTTTGTTTCACTGAAAAACATGGAAGAATGTCCTGATAATGTCCAGTAAGGTCGATGAGTAAACACTGTTAACCCCACAACAAATGATGCTGCCTTCAGGGAGATCTGGGAAATGAAAAAAAATCGACTGATATACCAGAAATGCATACTGTATGTTTAACAACTCTCTTCACTGCAGCTCGAACTCCAAGACACTTGGTAATTTCAAGTGAGAGGAACAGAAGTCTTTCTCAATTCAAACTCAGAAGTTTCCGAAGAACTTCAAGCACAATTACATGGCAAAATTGATACTGCTCCTATATACATACATATATATGAAAAACAACACAATAATAAGTAATTAACACTAATAGCCACTTTTGGAGAACACATTTGTAATTTTTCAACCACATAGGATAACTCCCCGAAAGAGCAAACACTTAACTACAAATAAGTAACTTAAGAACATCTTTATCCAAGTATATATTTTAAACTATGAAGAAGATAGCTTTTCATAGTGGTAGTGTCATAATCAATGAGGTTTATCTGAGATGTAATTATTGCTAATTGAAAAAAAATTAACAAAACATGAGGAAGATAGTTAAATGATCATAATACAGTTCTCAGTCTAGACGTAGTTTGTTGAAGTCTTAACTAAACTAAGGGGAAACTATCTCATTTTCCTTATATCTGAAGTTCTTATAAACTGAAGTCTGATGCCTAAAAACGTGGCTTTTCCATAATGCCATGCTGTTTAAGTGACTTATCTAAAATTATTTGTTAATAAACTTATGGATAGCAATTTGAGATATCTTCCAGCACCCACAAATACTTTCTGAGAATGGAGTGGTATCAGAAGAAGTATTAAAAAAAATAAAGGTACACAATTCTTTGTTTTATACCTTGTCATTTTTGCATCTTTACAAGAAAAAATTTAATTGTCTTTTTAAATATTTTTTATTTTGTAGCATAGGTAGTAAATTGGAAGTTGTACAGAAAGGTCCTTCTCCCAACTTCCCCCCAATGATAATACCCTGCATAATTTTAGTACAATATCAAAACCAGGAAATTGCTACTGAGATAATCCACAGAGCTAATCCTATATAAAATTCTAAACAGCCTCTTATATTAATCTTTATATATATAAAATCTAAATTCCATATATATAAAAATTTGTGGGTAATTATTTTCATTTTAAATACTCTCTTCTCCTAGTGAATAACTAATCTATGACATAAAACTTCCTCTTTTTATGACATGCCAATAACAATATTTACTGGCAAGTAGGTATCTCAAATTGCTATCCAGAAATCAAATAACTTTTGATACTAGTCTTAAATGGCATGGCATTATGGAAAAGGCATGTGTTTAGGCATCAGACTTCAGTTACAATGTTGGCAGCTCCTTCCCTTGCTATCTGAGTGACCCAGCGGAGAAGACTTCATTGCTTCATTGCCTTAAGTTCTTCATAAGAGTATCATAGCAAAATGATATTTACTAATGTCTACCTCAAATAGTAAGGATTCAGTTATACCAGGTGTATAAAAGAGCTTTATAAATTACCAAGTGCTATACAATGTTAATCTTTGTGTTCACTATTCTTATTAGAATTTATATGGTGAAAAACTTACCTTTGTTTGAATCATGCCAGAACGTTGTTCTCTCATTTGGGTCACTATATTCTCAAAGCTGAACTGTAATAAGATGACAGTATTTTGTATTATTCATGTAGGAGGAAAAGCACAACCCCAGGGATTGTCAAATGAGTACTACATACCTCTTTTTAGCAAAAGAGATGTCGACATATAACCAGAAATTTCTCATTTCCAGTCACTAGAAAATGTGCCTTTTTAAACTTACTCCAATAAATAAGGAAGACTTATTGTAATAGGTTTTCAGGAAAATGCAGGAAGCAATCATTTATTATAAAAAATGTTCTCCAATAAACAAACAAATGATCTTCAAAAGAAATAACAACATATTTGCCCTTGCATACACCTTTGTGTTATCCAAAGGGAGAACTGAAAGCAGCAATGTAAGTCTGGGAAAACAGAAGATTTTCTCTACCTTCAAGAGTGGCATAACTGTTTCTCCTATAAGCAGCCCTGTCAACTCAAATGGAAACTTGAACAAAAGTTGGTTCAACACCAGATTCTGCACCTTTATGCAGAGACTGGTACAACCTGGGGTGTTTACTGAGTGGGTGCAGGTTGCAAGAATTGGGTGCTAGTCCACAGGGACAGCAGATACTTTCTGGGAGGTATTTAGAAACTTATAGCAATCTAATCTTGGAGCAGCATTAGGAGTATGACCAGCTGAACAAGTCGCAGACCACCTTAGGAGTTGCTGATCTTGCCTGAAGAGTCCTATGTGATAAAAGCTCATTATAGTCATGTATTGCAAGGCCATGTCAACGTGAAATATTTTAATCCAAAAGAATATAAAGGTTTTTTGGTTTTTTTTTTAGTGCAGGGGATGTGGCTTAGTGGCAGAACTGAGCACTTGCCAAGCATGTATAAGGCCCTGGTTCAATCCCCAACATTGAAAAAAATATTAAAAATAAGCATTCTTTTATATTTATAACATGTCATTCTTATCATCTTCATAATAAAAATAATAATTAAGGCTTTCTAAATATTTTTTATTTTTGTAACAAAGGTAAACAGGAAGTTGTACAGGAAGGTCCTTCTTTCTTACAACTTCCCTCAATGATACTACTATCCAGCATAATTATAGTGCAATATAAAAAACAGGAAGCTGTCACTGGGTCAATTCACAGAGCTTATTCAGATTTCACTAGTTTTATACAGTCATGTATGTGTATTTATGTGGATTTCTATACAATTTTATTACATATGATGATTCATGTAACCACAACCACTATCATAATACAGAGCTGATCCTTTATACCACAAGATTTCCTTGTGCTATTCCTTCACAGCCAGCGACCCAATCATAAACCCCTGACAACCAGTGATCTCTTCTTCATCTTTATAGTAGTGTTATTTCAAGAAAGTTACTGAATTGAATGACAATATCTAACTTTTTGAGGTTGATTTTTTTCTCTCAGGGTAACTGCCTTGAGATGCATCCAAGTTATTCCATTTATTAGTGGTCTCATTCCTGTTTTTATTGCTAAATAGTAATCCATGGTATGGATGTGTACTGGTTTCCAGTATGGAGATGTTATGAATAAATGTGCTAGGAACATCTTTGTACAAATTCTTGTATGAAATTTTCATTTATGGGATAAATGCCCAAGAATCCTACTGATGGATTATATGGTAAGTTTAGTTTCTTTAAGGAAACTACAAAAGTATTTTCTAGAGTAGCTGTACCATTGTAAGTTCCCAATGTATGAGAATAGGTAATATAAGGGTAATCCAGCTTCTCTGAATCTTTGCCAGCATTTCTCCAAATCTGCACCAGTATTTTATGGTGTCACTATTTTTATATTAGCTATTCTGACAGTAGTACACACATCAAGGTTTAATTTGATTCCCAAAAGATAATGAAGCTGACAATCTTTTCATGTACTTGTCATCTGTATACTCTGCTAAAAACTCTGGTCATATCTTTTACCCATCTCTAACTGGTTTGTTTATTGTTGTTGTTTCACTACTGATTTTTGAGGATCCTTTATATATTTTAAATGCAAGACTTTTCTTGGCTTACAAATAGTTCTTCCAATTTTTAACCTGTCTTTTCATATCTTATTAGGGTACATTACAAAACAAATTAGGCCAGGAAAAGATAAATCTATTTGCAGATAGCAAAAATCACATATGTAGAAAATTTCAAAGAAACAAAAAATAAATAAAAATCTTTCAGAATTAATAAGTGAATTCAAAATTCAAAAAGAAAAGTCACAGGATACAAGATCAACATACAAAACCAACTGTATTTCTACATTTCATGTTCATTACAGTAGGAATGTGGAAATTGAAAGAAAAACAATACCATTTACATTTGCTCTAAAGAAAATGAAATAGGATAAATCTAACAAAACATCTACAGGGTCTGAAAATTACAAAATGATGAAAAAATACAAAGACCACCTAAATGAAAGGAAAGATATATCACCACACTCATGGATTAGATGATTTATCATAGCAAATATGTCAATTCTTCCAAATTAATCTATAAATTTAAGGCAATTTCTAACAAAATCACATCAAGTTCTTTTTGTAAACATATCCAGCTAATTCTAAAATTTGTATCAGAAAACACAGACCCTATACTGCTGAAACAACTTTGAAAACAAATAATAAAAGTGGAAGGAATCATTCTATCTGATGTTAAAACTTAGTACATAACTATAGAAATCCAAAGAGTAATATTGGCAGGACATATATACAGATCCAAGGAATATAATATAAAACCATAAATAGAGCCATATAAATATGCCCAACAATTTTTGACAAAAGTATAACAGCAATCAATAGAGGAAGAGCAGCCTTTTCCACAAATAGTGCTGGAACAACAGTATTGCTTTTAAGCCTAGAATTTTTTTTTTTTTTTTTTTTTGGTACTGGGGATTAAACCCACGGGTGCTTTACTACTGAGTTATATCCCTACCCTTTTTATTTTGAGATAGAGTCTCTCACTAAACTGCTTAGGTCCTAAGTTGCTGAGGCTGGCCTCCTTGAATTTGTGATCCTCCTTCCTCAGTCTCCTAAATCTCTGGGACTACAGGTATGCATCACTGCACCCAGGCAAAAATAGAATTTTTTTTAAAAATTTAAAAACTGAACCTTGACCTAAATCTCACACTGTACATAAAAATTAACTCAAATGGACTTAAATCTAAAACATAAAAATACAGAATTTTTCAAAAACAACAGGGAATAATTCTTTAGGATACAAGATAGGTAATGACTTTTTTGACTTAACATCAAAAGTACAACACACAAAGAAAATTTTTAGGTCTCATTGAAATGAAAAATTTATTTCTTTGAAAGCTTTAAATTGTGACTTCATATTATATTTATTAATATTTCTAAATTATTGAAATAAATCTGTATTATCAGTCTTTAACCTTAATTTACTGATGATGAAATAAACATGGATTTTGGTCAAGAAAAGACACAACTTTCTCAATGAGGCCATAATGGTCAAAATAAATGGCAATAGAGGTGACTGAAAAGAAATTAACACCAAAAGAGTTTTCATACTAATTTTATCTTGAATTATGACTCCTCATGAATTGAATTATGTAGAATTAATTGTGAAGTGCTAAGACCATATGTGTTTATTTGCAAAGATATACTGACTATAACGATACTATTTCACAAAATAATCATTAATTTACTTGTACTTTTTATTCGTTTTTATTATTTATTTATTTAGGTACTGGTGATTGAGCAGACCAGGGTGCTATACCACTGAGTGACATCCCTAGTCCTATTTTTTTTTTTTTGAGACAGGGTCACACTCAATTACTAAGGGTCTCAGTAAGTTGCTGAGGCTGGCCTTGAATTTGCAATCCTCTTGCCTCAGCCTCCTGAGTAGCTGGTATTATAAGTGTGTGTCACCACATCCAGCCTTACTTGTCATTTATAATAATAACTAAAAACGAATCCAAAGACAAAGAATTATTTTATAGAATATTAGATAAAAAGCTAACAGAAGCTGATGGTGAATGTTTCATACATATTAATGTTCTAGAGACTCTATATAAAGGAATAATTTGAATTGCTAAGATTAATATACACACACACATTTGTCAAAACAATGGTGAGAGACTATTTGAAAGATGTTTTCTTGGAAAGCCTGGCAAAAAGATATCATTTTCTTATTATATCACAGAGTTAGATAAATTTGGGGACTGGCTAATGATAGGGAGTGGTATCAACTTATGGAACAAAAATAAGTAGAAAAGTATTTACTATTGAAATTTTCTGAAGTCACTGATATGGATAACATAGTGATTCTTTCAGTATATGTGTGACATGAACATATACTGATTTTTTCTCAGCTTGATTACAGATAAACTCTACTAGCTTAAAACTGTATAAAAATTCAAAGCACTATATTTTCAACAAATTTGAGTGACTTGAAGATCGCTTTTTGTGTAGTATGATATTATGATAGGAAAGATGAAATAACCAAAAAAATGTAGTTGGTTGAGGTAGTTACACAGATGAAGAAATTTGTGCCAGAAGAAAAATCAATAGGCTGCTTCAAAAAGATTCTTGCTAACAAAAAAACAAAAGCAAAAACCAACACCTGCCAGATGAACTAAAGTGTGCTTAGTGCCATACTACAAATTTTTATTATATATATTATATATAGGGCAATGTGTTAAATTTGGGATTATTCTCCTTATTACATGATCATTCTCTATGTTAGCTGAAAATTAACAATTATTATTGCATGCCGAAGATGGTTAAATAAGGGAAAAGTTCTGCTGAGAATATCTGAAATCCCGCAAGTCAAGAACTAGTTTGTGCTACGTGCAATGGCACACACCTGTAATCCCAGCATCTCAGGAGGCTGAGGCAGGAAGATTCTAAGTTCAAAGCCAGTTACATCAATTTAGTAAGGTTGTAGCAACTTAGCAAGACCCTTTCTCAAAAAATAAAACAATGGGCTGGGGATATTGCTCAATGATTAAGCACCCTGGGTTCAATCTCTGGTACAAAAAAAAAAAAAAGAGAGAGAGAGAGAGAATAGATTAATAACTTTGATTAAATTCATGCTTTCATGGGACTGGATTAGTTACCACTGGACAGGCCACCCCTCATGTTTATTCTCTTCTGTACACACTTGCTTCTCTTACTATTTCCACCATGAGTTAAAGCAATACAAGACCCTTGCAAGATGCACTGTCTGATCTGGAACGTTTCTGGTTCCAGAAGTATGATACAAAATGAACTTTTATATAATAAGCCTTTGTTTTACAAAATACCCTGTGTCTAAGGTATTCTATTATATCAACAGAACATTAGATTAATACATATCTAACACACTAATCACAATCTTGGATGTCACATCAATATCTTAAACTGCTTTGAAAGTTTCTAAACGCTTACTCCTAATTTTTACATACTAAACTTGCTGCAGATAACAAACATGCTCTGATGAATAAAATTTCTGAGGAGAGTAGAGGAGGGTATCAGTAAGAACATTTATGTTAAGTAACAGCTCCATGATCTATGGAAAGTCAATAAAGAAACAATAAATGGATTTCCTATTTTTGAACCATTATATATTTCATCAGATCAGAGAATCTTTAATTGTAAGATGCACCATTATTTTATATATCACTAAGAAAAATACTAACAAGTAAATGACATGAGATTAATTATAAGATACATTTTAAGTTTTAAAGTTTAAAGAAGCTATAATGTGGAGTGGAAGCAATGATCCCTACTTAGACTTGATGATGAAAGATAATATTTATAGCTTTTCCAGTTGCCACAAGGGACACAAAATAAGGGTAAATACAAAATTAAGAAATTACAATGGATAATATATAAATAAGAAACATGCTAAAGTATTTTCTACTAAAAGTATAAAATATTAATTATAGAAATAAGATAACAGACTCTGCTAATATTAGCATTTTTAGGACATTTTCATTTTTTGACCGCCTCGTAATATATTATTTTCTTTTCTTTTAGTACTAGGGATTGAACCCAAACACACTTTACACTGAGCCCTTTTTTATTTCGAGACAGAGACTTGATAAATTGCTCAGGCTGGCCTCAAACTTGTGATCCTCCCAAGTAGCTAGAATTACAGGTATGTACCATATGCCTGGGTCTATGTCCTTTTTGGTAATGATACTCTGAGTTTGCTTTGGGAAACTATATTTCTTTCATTCTCAACCATATGAACTGAGGTAGATGGACCACTACATCTCTCTGTTATTACTTCATAAAAGAAGCTAATTTTCAGTCAGAAAAGGGACATACTAGGAGATTTTGGCCTGAACTTCTGAAAAACAGATGTTCCTCCATCCTCCAAGGAATAATTGGAATTAGATTTTTACTCCTTATTTGATATTATCTGAGAATGAGTGCTGGAACCACAACAGCCATTTTTCTGCTACCAAGGAGACCTTTCACTGTTAGAGTATGACTTTGCAAAGTCTGAGAGGGCAGGGATTTGACGCTGGTTCTGACAAAAACGTAACTTTACAGAATATGCTTGCCAGGGCAGATGTTTAGAAACCTTTTTCCTTATGGCTGAGGTATGCACTTTCACATTTCTTGTGATCATTCTATCAGCCACTTTCCCCCTAGTGTTTGCTCAGTAAATAGGTAATGAGAAACAGATGTCTACCTCTCCTCACTCCTCCAGCATAGGAATACAGTTCAGTAAGTAAGCCCTTTTAGCCTCAGATCTCAAGTCACATTCCCAATCAGTTAAGGCAATAACAGTTTAATCACCATATATTAGATCCTGGTATCTATCTCTTACTAGTTACAAATTTAGGAGAAAATTAAAGGATTGTTAATGCTTGACTAAAACCCAACAATATTATTGCCCTTATTTTATATAAGTGTACTGAGTTTGAGAGAGAATGAGCAAGTTACACAAAGTCACCAAAATCTGATGTGGTAAAATTGACAGTCAAACCTAGGGACCTCTCATTAGCTCCGAAGTCTATATTTTTTTCAGTGTGTTCAAATGTACTAAAAACAGGCATAGTTCATTTACAAGATACTAGATACTAAAAAACCATGGTGGATTACAGAGGAAAGAAAAAAGAAGATAAACTCATATTAACTGTGTATCTACTATATTTTCAGACACTATTCCTAAGTGATTGATTTATATTATTTCTTAGATCCTCACAATCACACACCTCCGCCCGGAACCTGCAGTAAGTTAGGTGAGAAGCAGGTATCCAAATCTCATGTACTTTCAATTTGTAAGTTGCTCCTGAAGGCCAAATATTAGTCTTCCAATATTATCAGGCTGTTAAAAGTAGTGTTACATAAACAGCATTGTTTTATCTGTTTGATTCACATACTTACTGAAAAGTTCTTTTCAATAGCACAGAACACAGCATCCACACATATGAATACCCCTGTTCGGCCTACACCAGCACTGCAATGAACCACTATAGGTCCTGTAAGGTGGCTCTTCCTTACATAACGAACATATTTTATGAAATCATCTGCTGAAGTAGGAGTGCCATGGTCTGGCCAGTTAGTGAACTGCAAGTGTTTTACAGAGTGGCTAGTTCCTGTCTGTCAGAGAGAGAGAGAGAGAGAGAGAGAGAGAGAGAGATTTATTGATTTCTTATACAAGAGATTTAATTTCAATTTCTAATATACCAATAATAATACAATCATTATAATAGTGGACATACCATATTATACTAATATTATATAGAACTTTCAAAGAGAACTCAAACCTAATCTTGATTTATAAAAATTCTGAAAGTTGCCAGGTTTGAATTTTTTCTCAATTTTACAAAGGAGAACACAATAAAACAATGAAAATAAGAATATTAACAGTCAACACAAATTGAGCTTACCAAGGGCTTCCCAAGAAATAATCCATTTAATCTTCACAACATTCCTGTGAGTCAGCCCTACTTTATCCTTTGTTTTTACAGATTAGGATTAGGGGGATTTGGAGGTGTATACTAGGTCACAAGACCCATATGTTTAAATTGGGACTTTAACATAGGCCTCCTGAACCCTAATTCACTATTTTTATTCTGCATGAGGTTGCAGAAAAATCAAGATTTCAAAATATTTAGGGTAAAAGATATGCCAATACATTAGGAATATAACCATAAAAGGCAATCTAGTTTAGCTTTTATATTACTAAATATAAAAACTGACAGGGGCCTAACCAAACTCCTCTAGTGATATTGTCAGGTTGTTTATGAACATGAGAGCAGACTGTAGTCCCAACTATTGTTCTTAGCACCCTTGAAGTATACTCATGAAATTCTTCTCAAGATTGACACTTGGAGTTTACCATATTCAATCCAAAGGAATCATCACTCTTTCCCCAGTGTGGGAACACTGTCTTACCTCACCAGGGTCCCTCTTGGAAAATTCAGAATGGGTTTCTCTCCCCTCCCCCCGCCTTTTTTTTTTTTTTTGGTAGTTGTAGATGAACAGCATGCCTTCATTTTATTTGTTTATTTTTATGTGATGCTGAGGATTAAACCCAGTGCCTCACACATGTAAGGCAAGTGCTCTGCCACTGAGCCCCAGCCCCAGCCCATTTTCCTCCTCTTTGGTTTACCCTAATATGTTCAGACCCCTCTTCTAATTTGGGATGGTTAATTTTCATGTCTACTTGGCTGAGTCACAGTACCTGGATATTTGGTCAAACATTATTCTAGATATTTCTGTGAAGATATTTTTGTATTATAGTATATTATAATTTAAATCAGTGGACTTTGAGTAAAGCAGATTACTCTCTAGAACATGGGTAGGCTTCACTCAGTCAGCTGAAGACATTAAGAGAACAAAGACTAAATTCCCATGAACAAGAGGAATTCTACCAGCAGACTGCTTTTGGACTCAAACTGGAATTCTTTCCTGGGTCTCCAGTCTACTGTCCCATTATGTAGATGTGTCAATCCTCCACAATCATGCAAGCCAATTACTTAAAAGTAATATTTTTTCCCTCTTCTTTCTCTTTCCATAAACATATAAATCCTGTTGGTTATCTTTCTCTAGATAAACCTAACTATAATAAGAATGCTGTGTTATATGTTCTATATTAACGTATTTAATATAGTTTTATACCTGAAATCATAAATCTAGAAAACCTCCAAGTCACTTTGGCTATTAATATGTTCTGTATTACATAACACTTGACAGTGGCAGAAATAACTTGAGATCTGGAAATGACAGTGAGAGGAGATGATATTTAAAACAACTTTTAACTTAATACTGAATAGAAAACTCATTTGAATCATTGGTGTATGAAACTGAACGATGTAAACAATACTTCAAAATCTTGTGAAGGCACCAAATTGAGAGTTGCTATTATCAGATCTTTCCTGTACCACTGACTATTGAGAACTTGCACAAAGGTGGACCTCACTAATTTCCTGATCCAATGCCATGTAGATGGAACTCCTGATGCAGACTGTCCGACCATGGGCCTCAACTTAAAGGCCACCAGCATTGGCCCCCTTGCCAGGGCTTCATAGGATATCCTTAGCATTTAAATCCTTGCAATGGACTATTACTCTGTGCCTCCCACTTGATATTCTCTCTCTCTCTCTCTCTCTCTCTCTCTCTCTCTCTCTCTCTCTCTCTCTTTGAGGTACTAGTTTATTTTTTTATTGATTTTTTGAAAAAAATAAATGACAGCAGAATGCATTACAATTCTTATTAAACATATACAGCACAATCTTTCATATCTCTGGTTGTATATAAAGTATGTTGACATCAATTTGTGTCTTCATGCATGTACTTTGGGTAATGATGTCTATCACATTCCACCATCCTTGCTAACCTCCTGCCCCCTCTTTTTCCTTCCCATCCCTCTGCCCTATCTAAAGTTTGTCTATTCCTCCCATGCTTCCCCTCCCTACTCCACTATGAATCAGCCTCCTTATATCAGAGAAAACACTTGACATTTGTTTTTGGGGGATTAGCTAACTTCACTGAGCATTATCATCTCCAATGCCATCCATTTACCTGCAAATGCCATGATTTTATTCTCTTTTATTGCTGAGTAAAATTCGAAAAAATATATCAAAAAGATCTTGTACCATGATCAAGTGGGATTCATCCCAGGGATGCAAGGTTGGTTCAACATTCAGAAATTAATAAATGTAATTCATGACATCAATAGACTCAAATATAAGAATCATATGATCATCTCAATAGATGCAGAAAATGCATTTGACAAAATACAGCACCTTTACATGTTAAAAACTAGAGAACAAAGACTAAATTCAGGGATAACAGGAACATATCTCAACATCTTAAAGGCTATCTACGCTAAGCCTCAGGACAACATCATTCTACATTGAGAAAAATTAAAGGCATTCTGTCGCGACCCCTTGCCCGCAAGGAATACGCAACTTGAGAATCTTCTTTCAACAGTTTATTCAGGTCCCTGGATATTTCTTCTTCTTCCTCTCGGGTGCCCCTCCCAGCCTTAATAAAGCATCCCAAGCCCCAATGCAAAGCTGCCGCGTGGAACTTTCTCACAGGGTGGTGAAAAATCATGTGCCAACTTTCCCAGATAAGAAATTGTTTGTCACAGACCACAGCGGAGCCAGCGCCATCTTGTAATGGCGACCATAATCTGCAGAAACGGCAGAAGCGGCTCACCACAGTTCCCCCTTTTCTGTTTTATTAAAACAATACAGGCGAGAGTAGAGGTCCTATCCCACTGTGCAGAAGTGGCTGCATAGTATGGCTCAGTCCCAAGGAGGGCCCTTCCCCAGATCTGAGGCCATATCAGCCGACGCCTTTTTTCGTGGGGCGGGGCGTGAACGCGTCTAACCCGCATGCAATAGGACATGCTCTCCTTGAGGTCCTCTTCAAGGATCACTCAAGTGCAGTGCCTTGCCTCGCATCCTGTATCGTGACGATGGTGGACGAAGGGGGATAGCTGAGGCTGAACTGTGGCTGTTTATAATGACAAACAAGTTGACAGCACCCTGAAAGAAAGGCACGGACTTCAAGGCGATAGAAAAGCACTAGTGTGGAAACCCATCTGCGTGCAATGGCAGTAAGACCGGCAGAGTGCAAGGGCTTTCCAACACTAAGAGAATAACAAGGAAAGTCATGTCGATCCCAGTGCAATGTTATAATAACTTGGGGTGTAACGACCATGACAAAGGTTTACTGCTTAAGATGCGCAAGCCAGACTTGAGGCGAGTTGCCATTTTCTAAAGCTGCAAGAGCTTGTATGATCATAGCCTTTTCTTGTGCATGGCGAGTTTTAAGGCGACAGAGAAGCCACAAACAAAGTACAACACCGAAGCAACACATTGCACCAAAAATGCCTACTCCCACCCACTCTTTGAAGAAGGAAAAAGCAGAAGATATCCAATCGGTGAATTGACCCAAAGTCACAGGATCGACACGGGTACTGTTCAAGACAGCTATCTGGGTTAGTTGAGACTGGATCATGTTTTCTGCTTCCATGGACCAGGTTCCGGATGGATACTCCCCGATGATGTGGGAGGCATTTCTGGAATCATAAAATCTGACAGAGGTTATACATAAATGTGCACGTTGATCAACACAACCCAAATGTACTAGGTCAGACAATTCCTCAACTTGAGCTTGAAGCAGATCTATCCTTTGATTAGCAGCCAGAATCCCAGATAAAATGTGTTGATTAATTTTACTTTGAGATTCAAGTATGGTGGATGTTTGTTGAATAAACTGATTAATAGTGGCAGCAGTTTGAACCTGGCTGGCCATGGCTACTCCAGCTGTAACTGCTGCAGCAGCAGACACTGCCACAGCTGTCACTATAGCTGCCCTAATTCCAAAATCTCTATGGGCTCTAAGTAGTTCAACAATAGGAAATGACTCTGGATCTGCAGTAACCGGGATCGGGACAAAAGTTGGAATTTTCATAACCATTGCCGTAGTCCAGGAGCCATTCCAACACTCAGACAAATAACAGGTAATATTAGAACAATTAAGCATCCCCTGTAATGTAACATTAGCCAAAAGAAACAGGAACGGAGATTGGAGACAGACTGCTGCGGAGGGTAATGTAGCATTAGATAATTGTGAATTATTTGCAGAAATTTTAAGCCTCCTACCTCGCTCCGAGTCTTGGGTACTTCCAGAAACATTAAACAGCCAACTTTGGACTCCTAATATTTCCCTGGGGAAACACAAGTGCGGACTAGACTAGCCCAATCTGAGGGAGTCATGCAAAATCTAGTAAGTCCCTCCACCTGAGTGAGAGTGAAAGCGGCATCTATGCCATAAGTGCGGACAGATTCTGCCAAGGTTTTAATTATCTTAAAGTCTAAAGGCTCATGATATCTTCCCCTGTTATTGTCCTGAAATACAGGGTATGCAAGTCCCATATCTGTATTAACTGTCCTCCAAACTTGTGCATGAAAAGATCTCCCGGAACCTTGGCTCCCCCCACATACGGAGGTGGGGCAATCGGCACCATATCTTCTTCTAGATATTCTACCTCCTCCTCCTCAGAGTTTTGTTGACCAATGTTAACTCCCTTCCCCTTCTTACAGTAGGCCTGCGTGCCCTGTGTCTCCTTTTTCTTCTTT